TTTTTTTAAAATAATGAAAAGCATTATTAATATAAACAAAGATAATATTGCAATTACAATCAATGACTAACAATGCAAATTACAAACACATATATGATCGTGCCGTAACGAAAAATTGTAACTTACTTTTTTCCTTGACAAACATTCGTTAACTAATAGTATCGACAAGCAGGGGTCCATTTCACGAGGATTGTGAGTTAAATAATAATTATTATCATATATATAACTAAAATTATAAAAACAATAAAAGAAGAATAAATAACTAAACTAAGTGAAATCTTAATAAGCGAATAAATTCTAAACAAATAAAATAAGAGAAATTTCTAGTTCACGTTTTTGTCTAAACTCTCACTCGACTAGTCTAATTAATTGTGACGTCGAGTTTCGCTATCTTCCGAAATTACTAGCTCTAAGTAACAACTGCTCTGCTACTCGAATTTTCTCTTATGATATATTTAGGCGAAATACGCTTTCTGATTAAATCTAACTACTGGATACTAGAATACGCTCTCTAGATTTAATATAATAACAACTTTAGGATCTATGAAAATATGCTAGTCTAAGTAATAGACTGGGACGCCCGGTCTACTTAATTAGGGAGTGTTATTCCCGGCAATTTTTTACTAATGTATGCTACTAACGAATCGAACCTAACAACAAAAAAGATTGCAAGTTCAGTTCTAATGTTAGACATGAAAAACCCTATATAGGTAATAAGTCCAAGTAAGATTAAATATATAATGTTTGATAAAAACAAAATAAAAAACTAATTTAATAAAAATAGCAAAATAATCGATCTTCGAAAGTAATCAAAGCAGAGTAAGTAAAGTTTGTCATCTCGAGATTATAAACAATAACTACACTAACACTAAAAAAAGAATAAAACGTTTGTATAAACCCCATTCGTTGGTTTTTTTTTTTTCTTCTCCCAAAGTACCCTCGGCCTTGGGCCGGCTTATTGTCACGAACCGCTCAAGTAGAAGACCGACTGCCACATGAAGAGTCACGTAGTGCCGGTCTCTACAGCCTTCAAGGAGGTTACAAGAGGCCTTCGGATCAGCGTGGGGCTGTCCGGAATGTTTCGGAGGCGTTGGAGGCGCCTTGGAACGAACAAGTACATGGTAGAACGACCCGGGAGGGCCCGATTGCGCGTAGCGGACTTCGGATGAGCTAGGGGCATTCCAGAAGTGTGGGGAGCATTCCGGATGCGTGAAGAGCACCCATCATTATAGAGAACATTCTGGAACCATGTGAAAGGATCTAGAAACATGTGAAACCTTTGGGACTAATGTGGAGTCTTCTAGAGCCTTCCTAAATATTGTAAGAAATTTTAGTAAGGGCATGTGCATAGTAGAGCCTTGTAGAATGTTCTAAGACGTGAGTAAGAAGTAGAATTTATGTAGAAGAGTTTAGAATGCCCCAGATCTTGAGGATCTAGAGAGTTCATGAGAGGAAAAGATGTCTATAAAATCAAAAGGCCCCTCATTTTTTCAATCCACCCAATAATCCAAGCATCATCCCAACACTCTTGTATAAAGTTTGAGTGAATAGTATAGATATAAATAAAATAAAATATATATTCCAAAAATATTAATTAACAATAAACAAAGTAAAAAAAAAAAATGTATTCTTATAACATCCTTTGCTTAAGTGGAACTCCTGTCCACTTCGGGTCAAGGAAATCTTGATATTCGTGGGTCACCAAATATCAGTATTTCAATCCAACAAAAGCTTTTAAAATAGCAACTCTGTTTATGTCCTACATTCAATTTTTTTTTTTCAGATTTTGGAAAAAAATAAAGAAATTAAGTATTACATCAAGTAAATATAAAAAAATATTATAAAATTTTATTTCTCGATTTAAATAAATTATATTCTTTGCTTAAGTGGACTTTGATTGATCCTTTAATTGTTTGTTATATGTACATGTTTATTAGGCAGAGTGAAAAAATTGTTCCAAAATCCCACAACCCAAAATTTGAACTAAGTCCATTTCTAGAAGCATTGACATACAATAAAATTATAGGCCGTACCCAAGGACTCCAATACATAGATTTTAGAATATGAGAGTGTATTTGTGAACATATAGTAATTTCATTATGATCCGAGCGGCATATTTAGAGTTACATACATAATACAAACATATATCCTATCACAATAAATCAAACAATTAGGGCAAGGATTTTAAATTCCTTGGATGATCATATAATCACGGCAACCACAATGCACACGGTATTATGAATTTGATTAGATTAACATCAAAATCTTGCAGATAACCACAATGTTAGAGCGGCACAAAACTCCAAACATCTGATAATGAACACAAGGATCTTTTGCAAAAATAATTCAAAGCCAACCACTTTGATCAAGCTAACTTCGAGAATCGAGATCAACAAAAAGTAATAAAATCATTTCCAAGGGAACTACAAATAATAAACACTTGAATACATTTACATGAGCCAATTTCACAACCATCAAAAAGCTATCTTGTGATTAAAAAAAGGTTATGCCTTTGCATAACTCAAATGGATCATCTTCATAACCAACTGCCTTTATTCGACCATAAACTTTAAATAAGTGAAATTCTTGTGAAGCTCTATTCAACTGTTCTTGTGAGTAAAGCTCAGCTTTTAGCCATAAATAATGACCAACAATATCAAAAATTATCAAACAACTTCGAACTTGATGCACGAGTCCGGACCTTAACCGCAGGTCCTCAATGAGCATCGGACCAAGCGCCAACACGGGGCAGTGAACAAACATCTCCTCTAGCGTGATATGTAGGGTGGTGTTGTGGCTGTGGACAACCATGGAGGTCGAGTAGTCGACCAAGCAGATGTCGACGTCGGTGGTGTCCAGGTGCACATCCATCAGGTAGTCGTAGGCCGTGACCATGGTGATGGGCTCGTCCTTGTCGGAGGTGAGTGAGGGTCACATGTTGGGTATGGTTCTGAGGATTCGGGGCACCCAAGACGGTGTTCTTGGGGACCTTGCTCAAAAGCCGGAAGAGGAGTGGCAGACGGATGGTGGTGGGGCGAGCTTCTCGACTTATTTGAGCTCTCGACCGAGCCGCAAAGGTTTTTCCCTAAAAGGTCGATTCCGGTGTTGGAATAACACTTGTGAGTGGTATCACATTGATTTGATAGGGTAAATAAGCCTAGTTTATAAGCATAGTGAGCTACTCCTCTCATCACCAATTGGTTTTGAGATGAAACCTCACTAAGATGCAACTAGGCTCACCGTCGTATGGTGCATTTCACTGTGTGGGATCGCACCCCTGATGCCCCGATTATCAAAATTTGACATGGTATCAGAGCAGGCCTAATTTGGGACTTGCGATGATTTAAAAATGTACCCGACCTAGTTGTATAGACTCGGGCTTATGATGATGATTAAATGTACCTGGCCTGATTGTAGGCTTGGATTGATGAAGGACTCATAAACAACGGGGCGTGTTGGAATATCACTTGTGAGTTGCTCATATCAATTTGATAGGGTAAATGCATAGTTTATAAACCAAGTGGGTTACTGCTCCCATTACCAATTGGTTTTGGGATGAAACCTAACTAAGGTGCAACTAGGCTTACCCTCTTATTATGCGCTTCACTGTGTGGGACCCCTTATGCCCCGATTATCAAAATTTGACAACCAGTGACAAATCTATGAGAGAGTAAGTGATTCTGAGGAATTCGCACACAAACAATATCAAATTACTGTTCACATGAATTCTTCAGTGGCGCCTTTGGAGCATCCATGAACACTAGCTTACGAAAATTGGGGATGAAATGAAAAAATGATGATATCTGCTTTTTTATCTGAGGGTATTTCAGTAAATTAGAAATCCCACATAAGTGGGATATGATATCCTTTATAAGGGCCAGAATGGCGGTGTCCCAATTTATGGGATAATTGGACCGGACTTTGCACATTTGAAGGGCTAAACTTAAATGAACCAAACTCGTTAAACTTGTGGAAATCTACGAATTCAAGTGATATCAAACCCAATCAATGTAACCAAACCCAATCTTAAGCTGCCCATTAAGACCGAGCTCATCTCCTAGTCCAACAAATGTGCTTCTGGTCATGTTTAACTTAAATTTAACTCAATCTTTTTCAATATTATCAATAATGTTAAATAATATTAATAAATTATCCTATAAATCACATTAATTTTAACTTATTATTTTTTCATTCACATAATTTTAACTATTGGTCACTTTCGATCAGGTCTCATACTTTTACATCAAATAACTTTAATCATTTTATTTTACATGTTATTTTATAAAAAACTCAAAATCTAGTCAAACATAATTCAACAAACTTTTTTTTTTCGTACTTTTACGTTAAATCAACTTTAATCATTTATTTTAAATATCATTTTAATACAAGTTCAAAAATTCATTCAAAAATAATTCAACCAACTTTTTAAAATTAACTTTAATTAACTAAAAAACAAATTGAAACCAAAATATCCAATCTGATATCCCAAGCAATCCTACATTTTTTTTTCAATAATATTATCGTTTCCTAAAAAAAAAAGGCCGAATTTTATCACAGAACGTATCTAATTCCAAGATTTTATACCATCGAGAATAAATGATTCACCCCCACATTTATTTTTATTTTTTTTTTCCTTTTTCCTCCTAACCAAATTAATTTTATCTCTCTCTCTCTCGTCTTCTTCTTTTCTTATTTATTCTGAAAAACCCAGCACAAAAGCCTGCAAGTGCAAACTCCACTCAATTTCACTCTCCAATATCACAATTAAACACCTCGCCAGTGAAAAAGTTCTGATCTTTTGAGATAATAAAACCCTTCACTTGCACTCTACCGACGAACATTGGCGGATCCGGCGAGAACGCAGCGCTTGTTCGATAGCTATGGCGGCGTGAGGCGATTTTAGGGTCTACTGTAGTCGGCCAAGAGAAAGAACAAAAAGGGTTGAAAATATCTGCGCGAGGAAAAAACCCCTTTTTTTTTGTTCGCTCGCTCTCTTTAACTTTTCCACCTTCTCCACCGCCATGGACATCGACAATGAGAGGTCCACACTCACAGTAAAGGTAGCCAACGTCCCGCCGTCCGTCACAGCCCAAGATCTTCTAACCTTCCTCGAGTCCAAATTAGGCAAAGGCACAATCTTCGCCCTCGAGATTTTCACCGAACGCAAGAACTGGAAATCCAGAGGCCATGGCCGCGCCCAATTCGAAGGCCCGGAAGCTAAAAACGAAGCTCTGTCTCTATCCGGCCAGAGAAAGCTTCTTTTCAAAGGGTTTTACCTCTCGATTTCACATTCTTTCAACGATATTATTTTCCGACCGGCGGAGCCGAGGAACCGGGTTGGGGACGGCGATGGGCTGGTTTTGCTTGCTGGGGTTATGGTAAGGAGTGATTGCATGGGGATTTTGGAGTCGTGGGATGGGGTTAAGCTGTGGGTTCATCCTGAGAGGAAAAAGCTTGAGTTTTTTGTGGATCATGATGGGGAGAGTTATAAGCTGGAGGTTCAGTTTGGGGATGTGATTGAGACTAAAGGGTGTTGCTTGGATGGTGATGATACTAAAGTTGATGCAATTCTTTTGAAGGTATGGATTTTCAGCTTTCAATGGAGTTCTTTTTTCATTCCACTCTATCTGTGTGTGGTGGTGGGTCTTTTTTTTTTGGTAGCTAGCCACGGTATCCGAAGCTATGCCCCGGTATCTGCGTGTGGTGGTGGGTCTTTAGTTGGTGGAATTGGTCAATTTTATGCTGTGTCATTTAGTTCTTGTGTTGGTCAATACAGTGAACTTCAGTGTTTCTTGCAGATAGGAGTGAACTTCAGAGTTTTGTGTAAAAATGAGGTCAATTTATCAGTCTTTAGGCATCAATTGTTTGCTCCCTCTCTTTAAAATATAACTTTTGTCAAATAATGAATAAATGTATACATGAGTAATCAAGTTTTGTAAGGAATTGTAGGATAAGATAACAAACAGAGGTTTAGTTGTGAACATTTTGGTGTATCATTTTTTACTTGATTTTGGATTCAACTCGATCGTAGTGGTGAAAGGTATAATTCATAAACTAGTAGTATCTGTGGTGTGTAATATGTTAAATTGTGCTCTTTGATTTGATGCTTGGGCTTGGCTATATTTTTGTTGAGGTTGCTATTGTGACTTTTTTTACCACTTCAGTTTATGAATGATATCTTCCAGTTTGAGTTTTTTCCCTTGTCGAATAATGAAATAATTTTTTACAATTTTGTTTGTGTTGAACTTGAACCGTGTTTCTGTTCAAAGTATTTGTTAAACTACATTCTTCCGTTAATCTTACTTCTGTCTTTGTTTTCTCTTTTCAGCTCAAACACGCGCCAAAAATATTCAAGAAATTCTCCGGACCAAACATTGCCTCAAAATTCGCACCCGACCGATATCACATCTGCAAAGAAGACTTTGACCATCTCTGGGTCAGAACAACCGATTTCTCTGAAGTGAAGTCAATCGGACATTTGACTTCGCTTTGTTGGGAAATCGAAGGGTCATCAAGCTTAGAAACATACACCTGTCTACCGTACTATTCGAAAGACGTAATGGAACTATCTCTAGAAGAAGGCCTAAAATTCGGACATTTATCAGATTTAGTGCCTATTGTCACTACTAATTTAGGACTCCCAGTACCTTACGAGGTCCTTTTCCAGCTTAATTCGCTCGTGCACACCCAAAAAATGAGCATTGCCTCTATAGACACCGAACTTCTCGAGACCCTCAGCCAGTTAGACACAGACACAGCACTTCTAATTCTCAAGAAAATGCACAAACTGCACACCACTTGTTTTGAACCCAAATTATTCATCGAAAGTCAATCTTATGTCACCCGACACAAAGGAAAAAAAAGTTTTACATCGTCAAGTTCCAAGTCTTTAAACGCTCAAAACACGATGAGCTGTCACCGGCTACTGGTGACCCCTTCCAGAATCTTCTGCTTGGGCCCCGAACTCGAATCCTCAAACCACATTGTAAAAAATTTCGCTTCGTATGCTTCGGATTTTCTGAGGGTCACGTTTGTAGATGAGGATTGGGGCAGGCTTTCGGCACATACTGTCTCGACTGTTATCAAAAAAGAAATCTTTTCGAAGCCCTACCGAACCGATATCTACAATCGGATTGTAACTGTCCTTCGAGATGGTATTACTATCGGTGACAAAAAATTCGAGTTCTTAGCGTTTTCTGCTAGTCAACTCCGTTCGAACTCCGTCTGGATGTTTGCCTCGAACGAGTACATCAATGCGGACGATATAAGAGATTGGATGGGCTGCTTTAAAAAGATTCGGAGCATATCGAAATGTGCTGCTCGAATGGGACAGCTGTTTAGCTCGTCCATGCAAACTTTCGAAGTCCACCCGAGAGACATTGACCGTATACCCGATATCGAGATAGTTTCTGATGATGGCGTGAAATATTGCTTTTCGGATGGTATCGGGAAAATATCCTACACGTTTGCTAAGGATATTGTCCGAAAACTCGGTCTGACTCACGTACCGTCCGCTTTCCAAATCCGTTATGGTGGATATAAGGGGGTGATAGTCGTGAGCCGAAATTCCTTCCGGAAGCTTGCTTTGAGAAGCAGCATGCTCAAGTTCGAGTCCGATAATTGCATGCTTAATGTTACGAAATGGAGCGAGTCTCAATCTTGCTACTTGAACCGGGAGATTATTACGCTTTTATCCACCCTAGGCGTGGAGGATAATGTATTCCTGGCGATGCAGGAAGTACAACTTCAAGAACTCGGAAGAATGCTGACCGAAAAGGAAGCTGCCATTAGTGTTTTGGAAAGCACGGGAGGTGGCGAGATGAAGAGTTTGCTGACTAGGATGTTGATGCTCGGGTACGAACCGAAAAACGAGCCGTACTTGTTAAGAATGCTTAGGTCTCATCTCGAGACGCAGCTCATGGATTTGAGGACTAGGTGCCGTATTTTTGTGCCGAAGGGGCGTGTGCTGGTGGGGTGCCTGGACGAGACAGGGATTTTGGAGTACGGGCAGGTTTTTGCTCGGGTGACCATGAATAAAATCGAGGCAGAATCGGGAGATCAGAAGTTTTTCAAGAGGGTTGATGAAACTACGTCTGTAATTGTCGGTAAAGTTGTGGTGACGAAGAATCCATGTCTTCATCCGGGAGATGTGAGGGTGCTCGAAGCCGTGTATGATGAGAGGTTTCAAAGGAGTAATCTGGTAGATTGCCTCGTTTTTCCTCAGAAAGGAGAGAGGTATAGTTCATCATCTTCTTCTTATTTATTAAATAGCTTGTTTGCTTTCATTCAAACCAGGCAACCTGAAAATTAAATTTACGGATATTGTAAGCGTACACGAGCGTTTTTTGGGTTAAATTGCTAATTTTTACAGGCCTCACCCTAATGAATGCTCGGGAGGTGATCTTGATGGTGATCTGTACTTCATAAGCTGGGACGAAAATCTAATTCCACCTCGAACTGTGACCCCCATGGACTACACTGGTCGACGAGCTCGAATAATGGATCACGACGTGACATTAGAGGTAAATCCACAACTCTTTATTGTTAGAACTGTCAAAATGTTCATTTTCCCATTTGTTTGGCGTGATGATTTGAGAAGAGGCCATTGCAGAGAATTAGGCTGTGGCCTGTTCTGAACCGGGCAAAAGAAAGTCCTGATTTTTTTGGGTCCTAGGAAAGATTGAGCTTGAGCCCGAGCCCATGGGCAAAAGGCTAAAAAATTTGACAGCTGTAATATTGTCGAACGTTTATTTATATAATGCAGGAAATTCAGAAATTCTTTGCGGATTACTTGATCAGTGACACGCTCGGCACGATCTCGACTGCACATCTGATCCACGCGGACCGCGAGCCCGAAAAAGCCCTCAGCCCAAAATGCCTCGAGCTCGCGAACCTCCACTCCATGGCCGTTGACTTCGCCAAGACTGGTGCCCCGGCCGAGATGCCCTCATACCTTAAACCCCACGAGTTCCCCGATTTCATGGAGCGTTGGGAGAGGCCCAGTTACGTCTCGTGGGGTCCACTCGGCAAGCTCTACCGGGCCACGATCCGTTTCGTCCGCCAAACAAAGCCCAAGGCTCGTGATAACATCATCCCTCACGAAATCCCACCCGACTCGTACGATCAAGACCTTATTGTCGATGGATACGAACGGTTTCTGAAAATCGCCGAAACTCACAAGGAGAGGTATATGGATAAAATGGGGTCCCTCATGAGTTATTACGGAGCGGAGAGCGAAATCGAGATACTCACCGGAAATTTGGAGAAAAAGTCGGGTTATCTGCAAAGGGATAATCGGAGGTACGGTGAGGTGAAGGATCGGGTTTTGGTGTCGGTCAAGAATTTGACGAGGGAGGTCAAAGGGTGGTTCGAAGGGGAGTGCGGTGGTGGAGGAGAGGATGATCGGCGCCAGCTGGCGGCCGCTTGGTATCACGTTACGTATCACCCGAGTTATTCTGGTGGAAGTAGTAGGGTCTGTTTGGGGTTTCCTTGGGTTGTGGGGAATGTATTGATGGATATTAAATCGGCCAAACACGGTGTAATCGTGGAGTATGTTGCCGAGTGAGCGAGGTTGTTTTTCAGGGGCTCGTTTGGAACCGGGAAGAGGAGTGATATCACGGGCATTACCGTACTTGAAATTGATCATCATTTTTACCTTAACTCTGTTTATTTATCAGGATTGTGGGCTTATTGTGGCCTTTGATTATAATGGCTGAAGACTGAGATTAGTAATGTTGCTATTTTTCTGATTGTAATCTCTTTATGTTATTATGCATTTGAAGAAAATGTTTCATCAATTTTGGATGTTAAAGTACTCATTTAATCTAATCCTAAATCAATAATCTTTTCCTTAATCGAAAATTTTCTAGTAAGCGTTACATCATCATATAACTGTCGGGGATAGTTGATCTAACTGTTATAAATGTCGACATAATGGTTCAGTAACAAGACCATATAATCTCCACTCATTTAATCTAATCCTAAACCAATAATCTTTTCCTTAATCTTTTTTTTCCCTAGGAAAGTTGATAATTTGGTGAAAAAATCAACGAAAAAACACAGCTCACATGTACTAGAATATGCCTTTCCCGAATGGATAATGCAAATGGAAATAAAATCATGGAGGAAAATAAAGGCAAAACAAAACAGGGAAAAAGTGTGTTTTCCACCTAAATTTGATTGAACCTTTACCAAAACTTTCCACATCAAAAAAAGAAATAAAGTTTCACGGTTTTGTTGGCTCCATAATGGAACCAACCTTCTATATACAACATATAAACCTACGATAAAAATAAAATTATATTATTGTTATTTAAGTTATTCGAGAATATGGTATGTTTACTTGTTGTATATAGAATATTAGTTTCATTATGAAGCTAACTGTTGGCTTCATAACAAAACCGCTTCATCCCTCAATCAACAAAAACAACAATAAATAAAAAATTCCCAAAAATAAGAACTAAAATTTAAATAAATATCATCAACCATTCCCTCAATCAAGAAAACAATATTAAATTAAAAAATCACAAGAAAAAAAAAAAAAGTTACATAGTTTTGGATA